TTCACAAAAATATAGCATAAGCTTTAATTCCTATAATTGAATTGGTGCTACTATACCTACCTCCTAAATGTTCAGACAGAAAGTCAGTTTATAGCAGATGCAGAGACAGTGATGCTTCATGTAGAAAGTTTTTTAAGGTGGATCATAAACCTAGAGAAATCAAATCTGATACCCATCAAGAGAGTCTCTTTTTCTTGGCTTTAATCATTGATTCCAAAGTTCAAAAAATGATTTCTTCAGAAGACAAAAAAGGGAAGCTACAGTGGTTTCACTACTATCTGTACAAGAAAAAACAGTAAGAGCAATCATAAAAAGTAGGGATGCGCTGATACCGAGTATTTGGGTGAGTACTCCTACTCGCTCAAATGTCCGATACTTACCCCTATACCAAAAGTGCCACGAGGCTGCCTAGCAACAATTGAAGTCGGCTTACTAGCCAATCAAGGTGCCAGGATGCGGGTCATGATGTCCCGACCGGCTTCTTGATTGGTCAGGAAGCCAGGCTGCCTTGGAACGTGAAGCCGTGTACTTTTAATACAACAACGGCTTCCCAGGCAATCGGGAAGCCTAATAAGCCGGGCCAATGGTCCCCCGGGATGCTGTTATCGGTATCCGCTATCCGCGAGTACCCAAAAAAAATATCGGTACTCGTACTCGATGCCAAGAAAACGATATCTGTGCATCCCTAATTAAAACTCTGGGTCTTATGACCTCTTCAATCCTGTTGGATCAGTGGACACAAACCGACTCAACAGCACTTCAAAATTTTCACAGGAAGCTGGGACAGACCACATGCAACGGTAGACTTTCCTTGCGCTAACAATTTACATTTTTCTATGGTGCTAAGTCAGGTACGGCTCCTTGTCAACCTGGTCATTAACACAACAGTTGCAAATGCATGGGAATAGGGAGTACACTCAAACCAAATAGTGACTCAATGGAAACTGAAATGGACAAAGAGCTTCAAATTTCAGAGAGCTGGCAGTGATAGGGAAAGCTTTAGAAGCACTTTCTCCTTCTGTCGCTCGGAAAGCACTTTCTCCTTCTGTCGCTCGGAAAGCACTTTCTCCTTCTGTCGCTCGGAAAGCACTTTCTCCTTCTGTCGCTCGGAAAGCACTTTCTCCTAAACAGAACGGACAGCAGTATTATACATAAACATACAAGGAGGCATCAGATCCTCCCACCTTTTTGACTTTTGCAAAGACACTCATTTACGCAGTCTGCTCTCACTTTCAACAGTTTACATCAGAAGGATTCTCAGTTATTTGGCCGATTTCCTCGTTAGGTAAAGCACTTTCTCCTTCTGTCGCTCGGAAAGCACTTTCTCCTTCTGTCGCTCGGAAAGCACTTTCTCCTTCTGTCGCTCGGAAAGCACTTTCTCCTTCTGTCGCTCGGAAAGCACTTTCTCCTTCTGTCGCTCGGAAAGCACTTTCTGAAAAACAGAACGGACAGCAGTATTATACATAAACATACAAGGAGGCATCAGATCCTCCCACCTTTTTGACTTTTGCAAAGACACTCATTTACGCAGTCTGCTCTCACTTTCAACAGTTTACATCAGAAGGATTCTCAGTTATTTGGCCGATTTCCTAGTTAGGAGAGAGCTAAAAAAAAAATCATCTTGCAAACTGAATTGAAAGGTTTTCCAGACAACACATTAGGAGCGTCAGACATGGACTTATTCGCAACTAAGTTGAACAAACAAGTAGGCAAATTCTGTTTACTGAAGGAAGAGGACGGCAGCCAGGGTTTGAATGCATTCTCCCAAAAGTAGACATTCCAGCTGGTTCCCCCTTTGCTTTTAAAAAGGGAATTTAAAACATTTGGGCAGGGCGAAAGAAACCTTGAACCACAGAGATTGGGATTCAGCAGTTTTTAGAGGTGAAGCTAATCACTACTGTGGGTTCTTCCCTGCACCTCAGGTTTATTCCACCAGGCACTAATCTGGCATCCCAAGATTATGGAGCGTAGGCTAAGGGCTTGGTGTCTGAACAGGAATCTTTAGGAACATAACGGCTTTAGGAGAAAGTGATTTCTGTGCTCACGGTGAGCCGCAAGAAAGTCACAAATGCCATATACGAAAAGATTTTAAAAATGTATAATAATGTAATGTCCAAGAAAACTCCCATTCACAAATTTCTAGGGTGAGTTATATAGAGAATTTCTTTGAGACGGAGCAGATACAAATTTCTCAATAAGTACACTAAAGGTACAAGTATCGTCTCTTTCTACTTTTTTTGGCCAACAGTTGGTACGTGGTTCCTTATATAACTCACTGGAAAGAGACCTCTGACAGCTAAACCATTTTCAGAATGGGATCTATCACTGTTGCTAAAAATGCTCCAAAAAATGTGTTTAAATCCATAGAAAAATGCTAGCCAGGTTGATTACCTTAAAGAGAGTACTGTCTGTAGAATGGTAAAAAGTGTTTACAGTCAGTAAAGTTCAAGTTCAAAGTCCAAGTAGATCTGCAATTTCTAAAGTTTCTACCACATTTCTGCACCAAGCTAGCTAACAAAAGGAAGCATCTTTCCACTGTCTAGATATGAACAAAAGCCATCATGGCCGACCTTGACAATTACCAAAGATTGAGGGGTACGGAATAGTGCTGTTTATATTGTACTTGGGACTGAAGAAAGGAACAAGGGCGTCCAGAACCACCATTACAAGGTGGTTGTTATGGCATGGCCAGCATATCATCACCAGGGTTAACATGAACACACTCTGTAAGAGCCTTAGCAGCCTCCAGGGCTTAGAAAGGAGCAGTGCCAGAACAGATCGGTAAGGCAGCAAACTAGCTTTTAGACTTTCAGAAATAGGGGTGAGGGGTGAGGTTCAGGTAGACCATGGGTACGATCCAAACCCATTCTGTTCACTGAATAGGTGAAAATTTTTGCCTCCTGCCATGGGGCCATTTTTTTCTGGACTTTATTCCTGGTTTATTCCTGTTCAGCCATAAAAGAATGAAACAATCACTTGTCACAGTATCGTGGCATCCTAGTTAGAGTGAGCAGTGATTGTTAGAGGATGTATCCCCTGTCAAACCATGTTAAATATCAGCTTGTCTGCAGGCATAAAAAAGGAAAGGTTTACTAAATTGTTATTTTTGTTTGTTGTTGTACATTAAGTTTTTGATGTTTAGGACTGTACGTAATACAAAAGTCACGTGAATTTGTGGTTATAAGGGACAATGTAGATGCAACTGTTTTAGTCGAGCACTATGTGTGGCTGACAGCAGCTAGAATACAGAGGGTCTTTCTTCCTCTTTCTGTTCTCACATGTACAGATCCCTCATCATTAACAAAATGCCAGGACATCACCATTGGTCGTCTTTGTTTATTTTGTCTAGTCAATCAGTTTTCTTTGTCCTATATTTTTTGCATATACAGTTGCAGTGTCTAAAATACCACTTTTTGTGTGTGTGTTTGGTAACTACAAATGAATTTGTTGTGGAACATCCTGTAAGTCTGTTTTTGTTGGACTGGCCTTTAACAATTTGGACAGTTCTAAAAAAATAAATGTAAAATAGCTTTTAGGACAGGTGAAATGTAGGGCGGCCTGATGATTGCAAGTCGTATTTCTGTTTTGTATTAAAATAAAGAAAATACAAGCTTTCCCTAGCTCTCTCCTCCATGCTAGGAGGGGGGGGGGGCACAGCAAGCAGTGGGCGGGTGCAATAGCCAGCCTACTATTGGCTATTGCAATTTGAAATGGCCAATAGCGTGCTGGTTATTGCACTAGCCCACTACATGCTGTATTTACATTCAGCTGCCGTCTGCAGAATCTTGCCACTGGCAACTGTCATTCCCTGGCGGAAGCTATTCAAGTGCCATGTGCTTACAATTTAAAAAACAAACAAATTATAAAATGTGGGAAAAGGTAATTTTCGGTTTCAGCGTGCCAAATTCTGCTATGGGAGTTGCGTTGCAGTACCATTCATTTCAATGGCACCCCAAACGCGCCTCCCACCCGCAGTATGAAAATCCACACTGGAACACACGGTACCGCAATGCTGGGCGTTCCAGTGCAGTGCGAATGCAAAAAATTGTGCATGCAGTTTTAGTCTGAAGTAAACTTTGTTTGTAACACTCTGTTTGTTTGTCTATTTTTTGTTAAATTAAGGATGGTGTTTATTATTTGTAATTAGATTTATCGAAAAAATTATGAACCAACTAATCGATTATGAAAATTATTAGTTGCAGCCCTACATGGGTCATATAGTCCAGCTGCCTACATCACCACTGTGGAACATGCACCTATACCGCTGACGTGCTTAAAGATGAAAAAAAAATCTAAGAGAATAAACAGATGGCTTTATTAAATAGTATCTATGGTCAAAAATGAAGAATACATCTTTATTCCTATATTGAATTTACATAAGTTTTATCTAACTCCTAATAATAATAATAATAATAATAATAATATTGATCTAGAAGTTTGCAAACCTATTTATTGAAGATGCCCATAGGATGTACTGTCACAATTTCAGTCAGCCCTGTGAATATGCACTTCCTTGTGCCACCACTCTCACAGAGCCTGTCTTCTGAACCCAACATCTAAACAATGTAAGATTATCATTGCATGCTGGAAGCAATGCATGATGGGATGTGTAGTCTTGAGAAATCGAGTCTGCATCACATCACTCAGCGGGGGAAAAACAAAGCACACTGGGAGTCCAGGAAGTTGATGAAAGTGATGGGCTGACGGAAGGCAGCACTCGCCACATAAAAGGGATTTTTTCAAGTAACCTTTAGTTGCATTATTAAAAAGAACTCTAGTATGTATTCCTATGACGATGCTGATGTTATAACAGGATGGTATATTTTGTGATTACAACTCCTGTAATGGTGTGCTCTAGAGGGTGCAGAGTGTGTAGTTGTACTTCAGGTAACACTCTACTTCGTGTTTTATTGATGGGATGTATTTCATGATATCTGTGCGTTATTTTTCCAACACTGCAGCATTTTGAAAGCTAAGACTTTTATTACATTTTGTTTCAGATTTTGACATTCGAAACAAAGAGCCCTACAGAATTAGCAGAACGCTTGCGAGCAGTGTGTGGAAATCAGAGCAACGCTTATGCACGCTTACTTGAATATCGCCTAAACGCCTTGCGTGGATTGTGGAATGCACAGCGTCAGTTGGCTTTGGAAGACCAACATGAAAGGGACGGCTCCGATGAGGAAACACTGGCTTTACTTAAGCGACAAGGCCTGCTACAACAACCAGAACAGGCTCCATTTACATCTCGAATGGGACTTTTGTTGGTGTTTCCCCTTATTCAGTCTCAGAGTAAAACAGACCCCTCACTTTGTAATATAACAGCTGAGGTGTTATTGAACTGCCTTCGAGACTGTCAGCCTTTGAGCCTCACTAAAGAACCAGCTGACTGCTTGAATGGGATAGAGGCTCTGCTTTGTTCCTGGCTGGAAGACACTTCTACTTTAGATCAGCAATGCTCTTTCAAGCAAAAAGAAAACTCTGCTGCTGCCCTGGTGGCCTTGGCATGTGCCAGGTATGTACTAATAAGAAAGAACAACACTTCCTAAGCAATTTTTGGCTGCTCCTGCAGATTGAAAGTCCATAAGGGACACATCTGATCTAGGAGACAGGGAAGGTGGAATGTCATTTAACTGTGTGTAGCGTCATGTCCTACCATAACAGGGCTGGACAAATGCCAGGAGGCAGGTAGCCAATGTTCATTAAAAATTACAGCGGGTGCCTAACTTTTGGGATTTTTTCTAGTTGTAGCTGTTGGATCTGGCTCCAAATAAAAAGCCCTTCTTGCTCCAGGATTGGACACACTGGCTCCTGAATTCCATATTAATTTGCCCACCCCTGTATTATGAGTCTATTCACCATAAAGGCAATAAAGTAAGTCTGCCTGGTGATTAGGTAGCTCTTCCATATTTGTCCACCCTTGTACTATGAGTCTATTCCCTGTAAAGGCATAGTAGTAAGTCTGCCTGGTGATTAGGTGGCTCTTCCATATTAATTTGTCCACCCCCTGTACTATGAGTCTATTCCCCATAAAGGCATAGTAGTAAGTCTGCCTGGTGATTAGGTGGGTCTTCCATATTAATTTGTCCACCCCCTGTACTATGAGTCTATTCACCATAAAGGCATAGTAGTAAGTCTGCCTGGTGATTAGGTGGCTCTTCCATATTAATTTGTCCACCCCTGTACTATGAGTCTATTCACCATAAAGGCATAGAAGTAAGTCTGCCTGGTGATTAGGTGGCTCTTCCATATTAATTTGTCCACCCCTGTACTATGAGTCTATTCACCATAAAGGCATAGAAGTAAGTCTGCCTGGTGATTAGGTAGCTGTTGAGCTCCTCGCACATGCTGTTAAAAATATAATGGCCCTAGTCCATATTTTATATTTACCTGACTAGAAGTAAAGTAATATTTTCCAAAAATGTTATTTTTTTCATTCTGAACATAACAAATCTATCAATTGCAGGTAAAATATATATATTTCAACTGTGTGTTGAGGTGTTTGCCCCATCTTTCACTTTAATGTGATGCCATGTTTTTAATGCTGACTATACATTTCTGCTAATATCTAGGTGACGTTACTGCACTGGTTACCAGTATGAACCCAGAAATTTACCAGCATGGTGAAAGTTTTACCACTGATCATTTCCCTTTTCCATAGTTTGTCATGAAGCAATCCTAATGGTTCGCTGGCTAGGAACGGCAGTTCCTGCAGTGCTCTGATTTATTTTGCATCAGGAAAAAGATCCCGTCACCTCTACCTATTCTGACCAATATGTCTTGTATGACCTCATTCACACTTAAAGTGGCATTAAACCCTCAGATTGTTTAACATAAAACAATACTGTAATGTGTGCCTTATTGTAATCCATGGTCGTTTCCCTTCTCTTTGCTGCTCTTCCTTTTTAAATCCGTATCTCTTCTCATGCTGGGCAGAACTTCTGTTTTGCAGCAGACTGCCTTGTCTCTGGAATGGATACATGGTGTCTGTGTGAAGGTTCACAACCTGAGCCAGCACTACAGGAAGAGGCACTCAGCTGCAAAGGGAAGTTCTCCCCAAGCATGAGAGATACGGATTTAAAAGGAAGAGCAGCAAAGAGAAGGCAAACAACCATGGATTACAGTAAGGCACACATTACAGTATTGGTTTATGTTACAAAATCTGAGGGTTTAATGTCACTTAAAGACTGGGCAGGCTCACGAATGGTTCAGTGTGACTCATGGGAACTGCTGAGGATGGGAAGCTCAATACAAAGCAATAACAGCTGACAGCGGCTGCAGCTGTTTGCATGTGATCAGATATGCTGCAAACAGATTACATTGAGTAGCGATCATTTGTAGGTGATCACAGCATGTCCGATTTATATGTCTTGTACAGTGATTCCCATCCACAGCCGTTTGCTTGAGCGCGGACGCCATGGAGCAGTTCCCAAGATGGCCCCAATCGCAAGGGTGAATGGGGCCTTATGATATATCATTTTATTTTTTTGTGATTTAGAAACATATACTGACTTTGCAGTTTTCTTGTATCTGTATTGTTTCATTGTCCTGTGTCTTTAATGACAAATGTCTTTGTTTATGTTTTAGGGGATCATTAAAAACTTTCATTCACACTGTACATTTGCTGCAGAAACAGACAGACTTAGGATCTTTGCCTGTGGCAGATGTACTATATAGGTAAGTGCAACCACTTGTTTTCAGTGTGATTCATGCTGCTGCCTCAAAAGTCATACATGTTTAGATGTTGTGGCATGGAACAAAATCTGATTTGCATTGATTTAACCCTTAACTAAGGGATAAACACATATTGTCTAAATACAAGAGCCACGTGTATTCCTACTTGAATCTTGGTGTACTTTGTGTATTTCTTCCAGATATGTGCAGTAATCCAGTGTAAAACTTTCCCTCTGTGCAGGAGCTTCCTGTAATGCAGACCAGTCACTGCTGCTTTCTCTTCTTTTGCGGGATGACAGGTCTTGTATTCGCCCGCTCCTGTTGTTTTCTGCAGGCAGACTGTAGTGGGTGATGCCTGCTGGGTCTCTCCCACAGCTCTGTACAGGATATGACAAAGCAAACTTTTTAAAGAAGCAAAAGCATTTGGGGCATGCAGAGTGGATTTATATCTATTTGTAGCTTTGAGGAATTCAGGGAAACAGGAGTGTAGTCAGGTCTATGCAGGGGTCAAGGCAGGTGATAATCAGAGAATGGTCAGGGTAAGCAACCAGTAAGCAGTAGACTAAAAACAGGAGACACTATTATACTGAAGCCTGTTTCTGCTTTGCTGACCCAGACCCACTTACCATTCTCTGCTTGCTGCTTGCCTTGACCCACATCTCACATGCAAACAGCTGCAGGCACTGTCAGCGGTCAATGCTTCGTATTGAGTCAGGTCCATGCAGGGGTCAAGGCAGGCGATAATCAGAGAAAGGTCAGGCACTCGGGGTAGGCAGCTAGTAAACAGTAAACAAAACACTCCCGAGTTGCTGACCCTGAGCAACCAAAAGCATAGTCGGGTCAAGGCAAGCAGCAAGCAGAGAATGGTAAGAGAGTCTGGGTCAGCAAAGCAGGAACAGCCTTCAGTATTTTAGTTTCTCACTCAAACAGGATAGCTGGTTTAAAGGCATAGCACCAGATACTTCCAGATTCTTAAGTACCCCTCTGCATCAGAGGACAGACCCAGCAATGTTTCAGGGTGTTCTGGAAGTTTTGGCACCGATTCTAAGACTACTATTGAAAATACTGGCCAGATTCTGTGAATACCATTAGAAGTACTGGCGGGGAGCTTGTGATTACCATTGGAGGTACTGGCAGGTAATCTTGAAATCCTGGTAGGGATTCCCAGAGAGGTTCTGGAAATCCTGGCAGGAACTCTGCCAGTATCATGATAGCCTTCAATACTTTGAGTCTTTGGCACGGATCAGGCATTTTGGCTACATCCGAGTACTAGAACCAGAGACATCCAGGTAACTAGCATTTTTAGAAAGATCAGCAGTTTCAGCCTCTGCTCTTTTCACGTGAATAGAAAGTTGTTGTTTTTTTTATGCCTGTGAAAGATTTCAGCTTTATGCAAAGCCGCTGTTTTCTGCGTTTTCCTCTATTGTAAACTTCTACTGCATTGCTGTTACTGGTCATTGGCTTGGATCTTATGTCAGACTATGAGTAAAAGGCAGGGTGATGCTTTTGATACTGAATTTTTCCAATTAATTTTTTTAAAACATTGTCACATAATCAATAGAGCGGGAGTACTGATTAAAGGCAATTCAGAGCTGATACATTAAATTTTTGGGTGGATGCCAGCAGGTTCAATCACTTGCTGACTTTCTTTGATCTCCAGGGTTCTCCAATGGTCGGGTTTCCCTATTGAATATGTTTTCCTTTTATCGTCAGGTTCAGCCTTTAGAAATCCAAATGCCATGGCATGTTGGCTCACCTTCAAACACTAGTAGACAATGAAAGCACCTACATACCTATGAATACACCTATGGATACAAATTATGTATTCTAGGTCAAGAACACCGTGATATTACCTTTTTAGAATCCTATGAAATTCTCACTTTCAGTATAAAGGCAGATTCATAGTATTTTCAGGAGATCATAATAAAGCTGAACTCCAGCCTTCCCACCAGTCTTGCACAGTTATACAGGCTCCTCTACTGTCCTGAAATGACATACTCTGATTTTACTGCACACTGTGAGCTCTTCCCAGTGTGCATTACAAGCTGTAGCACGTCAGAGCCCACCTCTAGCCCTTTCCTTCCCAGCCTTACTGTCTCTGGTCCATCCCTTTTCATTTACTGGTTTTCTATTCTTTCAGTCGTGGAGGCTCCTTCTAGCATATGGGTGTTGCTTAGGTTGGTCTCTCCATGTCCTGATTCCCTTTGTAACCGAGAGAGATTTGAAATATAACAGGTGAGGTTAAATCTGCCAGTGGAGACCAAGGGGGGGATTCCCTTCACTTTGTGGAGTGATTTCCCCTTATGTACTGTTGCCCGTTCAAGTCAGGAAGAGATGGGAAATCTCCCTAGCAGCTTACAGCTGCAAACATTAGTGTTTTAACCTTTACAATTCTCGGGAAGAAGAATTGTATTTTAAGTCGGGTTCTACCATTTCTCTTTTTCCCTGCTTCTTCTCCCAGCAGTGACTTTGCTGCCTTCCAGCCTTTTGATTAAATATAAAGTACCTGCACACTTTTTACATTAGAAGGTTGGGAGGCTGCAAGTCCCCCTGCTAAAGCTGCTAAGAAACTGACCTGGACTAGGAAATAACTTCAGATCTTCTACTGTGGACTTTGAGGATGATTTACTCCAAAGTACCTACAGCTACAAAGGTCCGTGAGGATTAAAAAAAAAACATATTTACTGCTACTATATATGGCTTATTTTGTATATAGATGTTGGTAAAGTTTTAGAAAATACTTGATCCCAGCTTCTGCTGTGCCTGTGCACTTCTGTGATGGGATAAATGCTAAGCACAGGCTCCTAGTGCTGTAGTAGAATTGTCACCCTGCCCTTCATGTTGCTGACTTGGAACTACAGGATGCTGACATTAGGCTGGAGTGTGGGACACGGAGCATGAACGCTTGCAGGCAAATTCCGCAATGGTGTCTGGGATGTGAAATTCTGGACCCTATAGTAACGTCACCAGCTGTGGCTTTCACCTCAGAGGAGCTGAAGCTGTCCCATTACTGCCTAAGGCCCCGTTCACATTGCGCGATTCGCAAATCGCGCGATAACGCGCAAATGCTTGCATTGAGCAAGCGAGAATCGCGGCAAAATCCGCTCCAAAAAGGGTCCTGCTGTAGCGACACACGACCCGCGACAGCAGGACCCTTTGCCCCATTGAGATGCATTGAAGAGCGATATCGCGTGGTAAATAGCCGCGATATCGCGGGAATTACCGCGCGATAAATCGCTCAATGTGAACGGGGCCTAATATTATAGGGGGAAAAAAGGTATTTAGTAGTGTGTTTAAATATTGTAATTCACTCAAATTGATTAGATTGGGTGTGCAATGCACCGTGACTTCTTAGTTTTATAAATGCTTTAGATTATGTAGATGTATAAATACTTCAGTGTCCCTAGCCTGGCCATATATTCACTTAGGTGCTATTTTGTGCCTGTTTAGGAAATGCAATCAAGTACAGTAGCAATGGTCCTCCCGCTGTTATTGAGAGGTGGGTCTGCCAGGCTGACAGAAGCTCAGGCTTTCATTGCCTGCCTGCCCACTGGGCCTCAGCCATCTGCTGCAACATGAATTCTGCATGGAGGAGGGGGTGGTGATCAGAAGAAATATTTAACTGTTAGCCTAAGTCAGGGATGGCCAAATCCCAGGAGCCAGATAGCCCATGCTCCTTAAACATTATATGCTTTTGAGGCTTCCCTAGTTGTTGCCAATGGACCTGCCTCCTAAAAAAAAAAAAATCCTGCTTCCTCCTTCATTGGACAAACTGGCTCCTGAATTCCAGATTATTATTATTATTATTATTATACAGGATTTATATAGCGCCAACAGTTTGCGCAGCGCTTTACAATATAAGGAAGAGATTACAATCACAATGCAATGCAAGACAAGATGGTAAGGAGATGAATTTGTACACCAGCTCCATTCAATTGATGTAGTAAATAGCTATAGATCTCTATAAGCTCTGAACTGTAATGAAAGTAATGGTCCAGCCAGAAGACATCTTAGTTCTAGGTGATGTCCGGTAGGCTTGGTCAGTCCTGGTATCTATATCTTGGATACTCTGTTAGATCTCCCTGCCGTAGTACTGAACTCATTTCCTCTTACCTAGGGGTTTAGGTTGTTCCCATTCACTTTTGCATGCTTCAGCACCTCCTGTTTCTTAAAGTTTAAAGCTGCCCATACACTAATAGATTTCAGAACGTTCGTACGCAGGATCTTTCATTACCACACGATAATGCCATTTAGATGCTTGACGGATGTCTAGTGTTTGATTTTACCTTGGATTTTGGATTGAATGGAGTTTTCTAAACAAAAACCACATTCACTATTAGAATTTCGTTTGATCGAGAAACATTTTCCATCCTGCTCTTCTCCTTTTTGTTTTTTTTTTCTTTTCTGACCATGTTTCATGTTACACCCATATTTAGGGTGTAAAATGGTCACATCCTCAACCCCCAGACCTTTTCCGGCTCTCCCACTTCCTTCCATTCCCCAGCTGAATGGCTGTATTTTTCTACCCGCAGGCTGCTGTCATATTTATTTATTTTTATATTTGCTGCGAGTGGCTCTGCCCACAGAGCAGCGTCATCCATTAAATAGATCCATTCAAAGGAGAGACTACAAGTCCCGTCAGCCACTCGTAGTTCTCAGTGCAATACAAGTGCGGTGATGCCGCCATGTCCATTGATACTTTTTCCTGTCTTTTCACCCTCCCCATTGGGCAAGACCAGTGCATTGACATTGCTCACATCACCTGCTGCTAAAGGGGAATTCTTTTTTGGATTCAGGCTGAAAGATAAGTATTTGGGATCACTTTTAATGATCTTGCTCAAATATTTTATATATAAGGCGTAAGTCTACTTTTAAGCTTTATATCAATATTTGTATTGTTGTTTTTTTTTTTTTAAATCATGATTTTAGATTGATGTGGAGAGTGTGTGTTTTATATAACCAAAGCTTTTTTTTTCCCACTAAAGGGTTAAAAGCTCTATTAGGCCCCTTTTCACACGACTGGTCCGAACAGGTCCGCCTGTCAGTTTTTCAGCTGGACCCGATCGGATGCTCAATGCAAGTCTATGGACGGCCGTGTGTAAATGGACAAGCGTACGTTTACACCCAGTTGACCCCGCCTCCACAAACAGAGCAGTGTTCCGTTTTCCGATAGACTGGATTGTGACAGATCGGGGGGAATCTGATGTAAATGGACATATGTCCGTTTACATCAAGATTCCCCATAGACTGGCATGGGGTCCGGTAAATGCAGTTTCCCCCCCCCCCATCGCAAGGTGGATGGCAAAACTGTATGGACAGTGATGTCAGTCGTGACATCCGCTCCGTACTACGTTGATCAGAGAGGAGCTGTATACCAACCCTCTCCTGATCATCCCATGTGAAAGGGGGCTTAGGTTAATTTTTTGGCATCTGCGTCCACTGGGGAGATTTCCCTTCACTTCCTGTCTTGGAGACACAACAGACAATTAGAAATCTCACCAAAGAAAGGGTAATTCTTGTCTTGGACAGTTGTCCACTGAACATTTTTCCCCACTGGTTGATTCTTGCATTGGTGGCAACTGTAAAATTCTGGATTTCCCCTCACTTTCTGTCCCGTGACTATGGTAACCTGGAGTGAATCTTGCCAGCGGGTACACAGACCACAGTACAAACTTGACAGGGGCTCTAACCCTTACACATTCTGTCCAAAAAATTATAAAGCTTTTGCCCTTGCATATACTTTAGGGAGAACCTTTTGATGTTGTAAAATGGAGGGTTTGGTATCCTGCAAGGTCTAGTGGTTGTGTGCGCTAATCACTGTTCATAAATAAAACTTTCTAATCTTGCATTAGGCGCTGCCAGTTTAAACTTCCTGAATCCTTCCAGGCGGTGCCAGCCGTTAGAGAACACTGGTCCCTTTCACACAACTCTTGTGTATTTCACTGCTTGATACATCTAACACAGCTGTTAATGACCATATCCTCCATGTTGATAACACAACCATTGTACAGGGTAGACTCTGGTTATAACGATCATTTGCCATAATGACTATTTTCAGCAATGATGGCGATGAGAACTGCAAAAGCAGATGGCTAAGAATGATGATTGTTAATGCAAATGACACATGTAAAGCTTGGTGAATTGAGTATGAATGTATAAGGAAGGAATCTCGTTCAGTCTTCTATGTTTGACATTGTGACACCTAGGCAGCACCTTTTTCTTGTCTGCTAAGTTATATTTGAACGAATACACTAGTTATTCTTTCCTTTACTGTTAGGTTGCTGCTGCTGGAAGGAGGGCCAGGATCTCCCTCTTGTTTACTGGGAAGCAAGCACATTGTATCCTGGGGTTTCGAGGATATGCTTCCAGCTCCTGATGGGACCAGTGGTGCAAATAATGAAAACAAAGGTAAAGCATCAAACATTGAGAAAAGCAGCAGGACGCTGCCAATAAATATGTAGTACAAGCTTCTGTTTTATCTTATTTGATATGCTTCACTTATTAGTGAATGGGGTTTTTGCATATCGGTATGATATTTAGTCTTATTTGGGTGTTGAATTGTTGAAGGCAGCTCCTCATTATGCTATCTGTCGTAGGGACTTTTAAAGTGTAGGCATAAAACAAAAAAAACAGATTTAGTACATTTCTGCAATAATGCAGATTTCCCTGTATTTTATCTTTTTAATAAAGCTTCAAGTACATGGAACACCATTCATTTCCATGGTGATGTCAGCCCACTCGCCTGTGCCATGGAAAGGTGTGACCCCGTCCGAAAACTTAGAGAAGGCCGGAAGGCATCCTGCTTTAGAAAGGCTAAGCTAACCACACAGTCCCTCTGCTGCTCTGAAATCCTAAGCACTATTATTTGCCCTCCCCAGTTCTCCCCTCGGAGTATAGAGCACCTTCACCATGTATTATGGAAATGTAGAGGTGTTGTGTAGGTCAGCTGGTGAGAACGTGGCAGGGCTTAAACAGGAGTTCACTGGATTTCTGGCTGATCTAACAGGTATTTGTACAGAGACAAAAATGTGGAGAAATGTGTCCCCCCCCCGCCTGGATATACACTTTAAATATCTATTCATGGAACTACTTGGATAAAAAGACACACAGAAGAAAGAAGCAGCAGCAATGGGACACATTTAAAATGCTGTTCTTTTCTACCAAATAAGTTGACATGTCCATTACAGCCCTTAGGATTGTATATGTCACCAGGCAAAAGGAAACCACAAAGTTTATTAAAGAAGTCAACAACATGTATTATATATCAAAGCTCAGTCACCACACTCCCACAGTCTATGTTGCTTTGTATCCCATTCTTCTATGTGATGTAGACACTGAGATACAGACTTTGACAACTGACTCCTCTTCATTCCTGACCACACTCTGCAAAGGAGATGAACTCTTGATGGGCATCTCTCATCTCACTGACCCTGAGCTTTTCCAACATAAGCACAGTCACAGGAATGTAGGTGCAGGGGGCACACCATCACAGGAATTGGTTCAGGCACTAGAACTGGGAAGGGAGAATTGTTTTGTGTCTGGAAAGTGCAGAGACAATGAGCTCAAGAGGCAGGCGGTCTCCTTTGCAGAGTGTGGTCAGTAATGGGGTGGTGGTAGTGTTGGGAGGGGGGTTGCATCAGTGGCATGCTGTCACCCTTTGGATCTCAGCTTCTGCTGCACACAGATGCATGGGATAAAAGGCAACATAAATATACATCTAGTATTTCATACATTTGTTTCTTTTTTTTTCTTCTGATCTGTGTATATTTAGATGCTTAAAGGAGAACTATGAGGTGAGTGCTTTTCACTCATCCTCATAGTTCTAGCCGACCTCTGACAATGAAACTGTCACAGGTCGGCTCAGTAGATCGGGAAGTGAGGGAACACATACCGGCGTTCGCTCACTTCTCGATCCTGTCACGGCTCTCTGCCGTGACAGGGGAGGGGCTGGATTCCCCCCTCCCCGCTCCAACCTCCAGCGCTGACTGGCGGAACGGGAGGGGGCGGGTACAGCTGGCTCTGCCTCTAAATAGGCAATGCCAGCTGTCACTCACGCAGCTGGACGGATCCGCTTCAGCTGCGGCGTCTCAGTATACCGCGAGCCGTAGCTCGCGGTATACTGAGCTTTGGGTGACGGGAGGACGCTTGTTTGTGCCCTCCTGTTACCCTAAGGAGAACTATGGGGAAAAGCGCCCTTGTTTACATACAGATCAAGCTGTTCAGGAAAAGTAACCGGGTTTGGGAAAAAACCTTAGCACTGCCAGGGGTGCTTGAACAATTGCAACAATTGTATAGTTGCTCTGCCTATGTGCTCGTCTATGCAGTGGTGTATTTTGGTTTTGTGCTGCCCTAGGCAAGACTAAACTCGGGCACCCCCTCAGCCTAAATTTGGCCCACCCCATCCTGTTTAGGACATTTTGCGCAACCTGTCAGTCACTGGATACAGCGCACACGGGGTCTCCGGAGAGCTGTGTATGGTCTCTGGTAGGCTGTACGGGGTCTCAAGAGAGCTGTGCAGGGTTTATGGTGGGCTGTGTGGGGTCTATGGTGTGCTGTGCTGGGTCTCAGGAGGACTGTGCAGAGTCCCTTTCCCCGATACAGTACATGTGCTGCTCCTCTTACCTGCAGTCTGAAGTGCCATCAGTACCAACAGGATACATTGCAGTCCCCGAGCCTGCTTCTGGGACATCCCACCATCAGATCACATGCCATGGCCGGCCCCGATCCACTTGCTGCTTCCTCTCTACCTCCTGTACAAAGCCAGCTGGACTTCCCTCCCCTCCGCAGCTCTCTAATTAGGCAACAGCTTTTAGGGCCTTGCAGCCGCCAAGGTTGCCTCATTAGGCAGCTGCCGCTGCCTGATTCTGTGCCGCAAGTTCCCAGTATGCCCAAAGGTAAGTCCGGCCCTCTTCGTCTCATTGGTTTGAAGCAGCATTTTTTTGCCTCCCCCCTGGAAAGTGCCGCCCTAGGCAAATGCCTAGTTTGCCTTGTGGTAGATACACCCCTGCGTCTATGTGCCACCACAACATCAAGCTTTTTTTGCAGATTGTAAATAAAGATTTCACCTCTGTCTCACCTTACACATTTGTTTTTTTATTAGATGCAGATTTGGGTCGCTGCTTGGCATCAGATGGGCTTTACTTATATACAACTAACTCTGTGGGAAGAGCGTTAAGCAAGCTGGGATCAGGACTTCATGGCACTTTACGGTGAGTCTCGTTTTGTTTTGTTTTAATATTAAACAGATATCTGCAAAACAGAACTATTTGCAGCCTCGAAGAGCCTTGAAAATACATATGTACTGTACTGTATGCAACTTATAGAAATGGCCCTATTGCTCCTAAAATATGCATCTAAGGCCGCATTTACACTGCCAATTACGGGCATACACCTCAAATAATTCACGTAAAGCTGCGGCCCAGATCATAGGTCCTTGAGATCAGCCAGGGCCAGGAATCCTGTACAAATCAATGACAGGCTGACAGGAACCATGGCTGTTTACTGTGACACCCACACTTGCTCATTTCTTGCCCTGCTGAAAGGAAATTTCTCTAGTGATGACAGACAGAAATCTAAATTTGGCAGACGTTCTGACTCTTTCTATATTGAAAACCTAAAAAAAAAATTTTGTCTGGCACTTTGATACAATTTTATGACATTAAATTTATTGGTGATTTTTTTGTTTTTTGTAGCGGTGTATAAAATAAAGGGGGGAAAAGTAGGTTACACACAAAAAAAAGTGTTTTATTTTTTCTATCCAGACAGGTGAAAGACATCCTCAGAAAAAGCATATTTTATGGTGTTGAAACTTTACTTGGTTATAGGCTGTTTTATGCAGTGGGCTTTGAGCTATACAGCGTCTTTGTGTTTTGCATGGCTTACCGTCACATATAAATTACATATTACTCCAAAATATTATTTTTCTAATATCTTGCATCCATTCCAATAATTTCAAGCAGCATTGTAAAAAAAATAAAAAATTAAGTTACATTCACTGAGTATAGGGAATGTCATTCTTGAAAGGGAAGCCTTGCTCAGAATGACTGTGGACTGTTTAAAGAGCATCGATGGTCTCTTTCTGCTGCAAGGTCCTTTCAAATACATTAGTCATCATTCTTGCAAGCACAGCTGCATCACCATGCAGGCATTCTGCTGCAAAATGAATTCTCACCTTTCCCATAGAAGTCAACGGGCTTGAATCTGACATCACTAGAATATTATGCTGGTGCTGTTGTATAATAATGCAGAAGTTGAATAAAGAGTACATTTTCCATAAATTTGAAATCGTGTATGGTTACTGAAGAGGACTTAGGCTGGGTTCACACCTGGGCATACGGAATATGCGCGTTTTTACCGCGACAAACGCGCGTTTCCGAGGGCTATCCGGCTGTATGCTAATGAATACGCGTGGCAAATACGCCCCAAAGAAGCTCCTGTACTTCTTTGGACGTAGGGCGCTTTACAGCGCGTTCCTTTCACGCTGTATAACGCCCAGGTGGGAACCATGCCCATAAGCAATTATTGGTTTTCACATGTTGAGCGTTTTACAGCACGTAGGACAGTAGAAAGGAATCATGGCACACTCACAAGCCAGCATGTAAAACAACTTGTCTCACCACTAAGGTTAATATCAGAGGTTTGGATACACGTCTTCTGCAGAAAATGTGAAAGCCGCGCCAAGGCACCTCTTATAGTGCGGTCCTAACTCTAAACTATTAGAGTCTCCATCTTGGAGCACATGGGGGCAGAAGATTTCAAATTGGGTGCAGGTTTGTCAGGAGGACGCCCAGCCTCCTTAAAGGCACAGGAACACACAAGGGATCCCGCACATCCCAATGGCAGCTGAGAACCCCCATGCATCACTGCACCAAATCGGTCAAGCAAAACAAATTACAAACGCACTCAACAATTTGTCACCAGCTATACAGTAAGGTGCACACGAAATGGGCTTTGCGGCTGTGCGGCTTTCACATTTTCTGCAGAAGACGTGTATCCAAACCTCTGTTATTAACCTCAGTGGTGAGACAAGTTGTTTTACATGCTGGCTTGTGAGTGTGCCATGATACCTTTCTACTGTTTTACTGTCCAAAGCCCATTTCGTGTGCACCTTACTGTATAACTGGTAACAAATTGTTGAGTGCGTTTGTCATTTGTTTTGCTTTACAGCACGTAGGAACGCGCTGTAAAACGCCAAGGTGTGAACCAGGCCTTAAAAGTAGCATGTTCAGCTTCAGTCTGGTTCATTCTGTAAAGCACATTGCCACGCCTGTACACTACCAAATAATATAATCCCTAGATAACTTGTAGATTACAGCCCTAATACCACACTATGTACTAACTCATGTAATCTAATCAGATTTTTGCAAAAGTGATATTCTGAGAGTTTTTTGTCTTTCTTGCTACTAGACTTATTCTTTCTGCTGCTAGGCTTAAAAATTTACACTTGTGTTTCAAGAACAATTGGTCCTCCATTTTATGTCTATAACATGCATATTCTGTCATTTGTCATGGATAATGCTAACTCTGCCCGTTTCTCTTCAGAGGTTTTGTCTATTGTCGAAATGAAGAGTTGGAGGCTGGCTGGATTGCTTATGGAAGCGGGAAGCTGCTTCATCGGCCAGCATCTTTCGATAACAAGCCTCATTTCCTTTTCCAAATAGTTGACCAGTACACCCTTCAGGTAAATAATTGTTAAAAATAAAGTGATCATATTGGGGGGAATTGATCAAAAGGGGAACAGACAAAATCTGGAGCAGCTGTGCACGGCAACCAATCGGCTTCTCGCTTTCATTTTCAAATCTTAACTGAACAAACTGAAGTGAGAGGCTGATTGGTTGCCATGGGCAACTGCTCTAGATTTTGTCTGCTCCAGTATTGATCATTTCCCCGCTTTGTATTTTGCGGTTTGTTTTTACATGCATAATTTGTGTAATAAAAAGTAATAGAAATGATAGTGATATGCTGATGTCCTATTCAATTTAACCCCTCCCTTAACTTAGTAAAGGGTTAACATTTGGAAAGAGGGAAATGTCTCCTCATCGCAGATGACGTGACAAGAGGTGAGGGGAAATATCTGCAGTGGGGAGACTGACAGTAACAATTTTACAGGCTCTTTCCCCACCCTCCAAAACCTAAAAACATTTGGCTGGTTTTGGGTTTGAGGTAGGATAGTAATTTTTTTTTGGGGGGGGGGGGGGCAGTATTCCTCCATTAGCTCTTCCATGGCAGTAAGCTATGCTGAATATCGAGCCCTTTTTAAAAGGGCTCGATCACATCAGCAGATGTGTTTTATTTACCCCAGCATGTTATGTTGTACTGCATTGTGCAACACACTGAGTTGAGAAAGTCCTTTTTTTCTTTTTCCCCCCGCCCCCTTCTAGTGCACTCCACCGCAATGCGTTTGTGTGAACTGACCCCATTGTAAAGCAGGCAGTTTGTCTTATCTATGCAAAGCCTAACACATTTAAGTGTGAACAGGCCCTAACATTCTGTAGTCCTGTTATGGCGATATCCACTCCTATCCTAGGGCCTGTTCACATGAGTTTCAGGTCCGGATCAGCAGATGCGGTGCTATGTGTTTTGCCGCGATTTTGATGCGTTCCAGTAAAAAAAAAATGTTTTTAATTTTTTTTTTGCTGGAGTGGGGCTATGATTATGTTAGCTGCAGTGCAATGCATTCTTGATGCGTTTTGCGTTTCCGGACCGTTTCAAAATGTGACATGCAGTATTTTTCTGTCGTAACCTGAACGGACTGCGCACGTGAGAACTGTAGCCCATAAAACACATAGAGATACATTGGGATGCATTGTTAGTGCAGGAGCGTACGGATCAGGTCAGCACACAAAACGGACGTCGTGTGAACAGGGCCTGGTAACCAGGTTCCTACCCTTCCCCTCTCTAAATGAAAAAAAAAATGTTTTGATTATTTTTTTTCTGGAGGTCTTGTAGCAAATGTACTCTCCAATGCTGATCCTAATAAACATCAGCCCAGTGAAAGCTCCCCAGGCAATATGGGTCATGCATTTGATCTCCTTTAAGACCCTCAAGACTGGGCAGCAACTTGCTTTGTAAGGATAGCTATTATTATGCAGCTTGTCCCTATTTGACAATATCCCCATTAGTTCTTTGGCTGGCGTATCCAATTGCTACATGCTTCAGCAAAATTTTATTTTAATCTTAAACCGCTGCACCAACAAGCACACTCAGCAGTTTAAGCTTTAAAGGCAAATCCTACTGTGACATGCAATTTCTAAATGGAATAGGGCACATGGGGAATCAGACTCGCAACATAACTTACAATAGGATGTTTTTGACAAACTGGTAAAAGAGTTTGTTTACCTTTTCTTATTAATTCAGAATAGGAGGTGGTGAAACCATTATATTTTTACAAAGTTATATTTTTGCTCTGTCCCCATAGAACAAATTACTTCCTCACGTCCTGTCCTAGTGACCACATGGAAAAAGGGGGGGAACTGCCCCAAGTAGGGACACGGATCCTCTCCTGATCACAGCAGTAGAGATCGGACCGCTGTGACATTCGTGTCCGTACAGCTTTTTTCCCCTTCATTTTGCGATGGAGTAAAAAAAAAAAAACTGCAATTACCGACCCCATGTCTGTCTATGGGGAATTGGATGTAAAAGGACATGTCCATTTAGATCAGATTACCCTGATCGGTAACAATCCGGTGAAACGGATCTCTGATCCCTTTGTTTTTTTCGGACCTGGTCAGTCGGGGGTAACCGGGTGTAAACAGACACCATCCATTCACACACGGCTGCTCACAGACTTGCATTAGGCATCTGATCGGGTCCGTCTGAAAAACTGACAGGCGGATCCGATCGGACCGCCCATGTGAAAGGGGCCTAAGGTTGGAATCGGTGTTTTCAGTTTGTGTTTCAAAGGAACTTTTTATCTGTAAAGAAAACC